ATCTTTTATTTTACATTTGTGTTGTGTTGAGGATCAAACCCAGTGCCTCGGAGCACATAGTCTTCTAACAGGGCTGGGATTTATCTCCATGAGCTCCCTGGGTGTGCCTGTTCTCCACAGCATGTTGCTTAATATTAAACAGCTGATTTAAGACGCTCCCGTTGGGTCCTGCTGTACAGTTGTTCTATAAATTTCCTGAGGACCACAGCTCTCTGCACATCTGCTGACAGTGCAGCTGTGTCCCTGACCTGATCCTCCCTGACCTTCCAGGTTGTCCCTGCTCTACACGCTGGGTCTGAGAATGGCTGCCCAGCTGCCCTGGCTGTGGGGACTGTCACGGCTACTTTATACACAAATCTGGCCATGATCCTGGGGCTGAAATCAGTGCTGCGGAGAGGCTGACCTTCACTCAGATCAAAGGCCTGTCATACTTGAGCTGAGCACTGGGGGCCCTCTTGGCTCTGTCCTGAGGGGMAGTGGGCAGTCTGGCCTGGTGACCCTGGTGGTGGCTGCAGCAGGGGACAGGGCTGCGTCTCCCCAGCCCCCACCTGCTGTGGCGGCCCCAGAGGAAGTGTGGGAATGGGACCCAATTTGTCCCCGTCCATGGTGGCCTGACGGCTCTCTCTTTTCCCTCTGGAGGGTGCCAGTCCTGATTTGCCTCTTGCTGTTGGTTTTGGGGCAACTTGTGGAAACCGCGTCCCTCCAACATCAGGCAAGGCAGCAGCAGGACGTGGGATGCATGGGATTGTGGGGCTCTGGACAAACACTGCCCACTCCCTTCCTGCCCACCTCCTGGCCTTGCCAGCTCTGCGACTCCAGAGACCAGCTGCTAAGACGGTRCACCCCATGCCTGAGGGGCAGCAGCCTGGCGGGCCTGGCTGGGGTTCTGCAGCTCTGCAAGGTGGGGCTGGACTGGGCACAGGGCCAGGATGGCAGCATGCACTCTTCATGCCTGGCAGAGGCGGTGGACACCTGGCTCTGCTGGCTCCCAGGGAGAGCCTTCCAGGAGAGCAGGTGGCTGAGCCCCCAATCAATTCCACGTGGTTCTGCTGGGTCCCTCCAGCTTGTGGGTGTCTGCTGCTCAATCCTACAGGCCTCACTCAATGTCACCCCAGCCACCGCAGCGTCAGGTCTCTGTCCTGGCTCCTCTTCCTGTGCAGGGCTCTGCTCCATGTCCTCTGCCCTGTCGGATGTGCCACAGAAGCCAGGGGCTCTGGGGGTCATGGGCCACTTCCCCAGGCCCCTCAGAAGCCGGGCTCTGGGGGTTGTGGGCCACCTCCCCAGGTCTCTCAGAAGTGGGCACTCTGCCTGGCACCACATCCCAGGGCGGGCCTGCGGTTTGCCTGGTGGGGCTTGTTTTTTGCCTGAGGGGCTGGTAGCCCTAGGAAGCGCCCTGGAATTGGCAGTTTGGGTGGGGGCAGTGGGCTCAGTCCCCTGGGCACCAGACAACTCCTGGACAGCCACCTGCAGAGGCAGCTGAAAGGCCACCAGAGTAAGTGGGGACGGTGGCAACCCATGCGGGCTCTCAGCCAGCCTCCCTCCCCTTGGGTTCAGGTGCCCTCTGGGCCTGACTGGACCTCGCCCTGGACCCTGCCCTGCCCAGCACCGCACCACGGCCCCACTGTGTCCCCACATGCTCCTCTGCCATCAAAGCCTCACGAGTTTCCTGTTTTCACAGTCYGTGTCCCCTCCCTTGCCACGTGTCCCTGGGGCCTGCCACGATGCCCAGTTCAGTTCATGAATGAAGGATCCTCTGAGAGGGGCTCCCTGCAGAGCGCGAGGTGCCGAATGCGAGGTCCGAGCTCAGGGCAGGAGGCTGGGAGGAGCTTGCATCCTTCCTGAGTCCCTTGGCCTCTGTGTGCTGGGCATGTGGGTGTCAGGTCCAGAGAGGACAGCAGAGGGAAAGCCCCGGCCACGCTCCSGTGATGGGCTCACATGGAGGCTGCAGTGTTCCCCCCATGGCGGTGACGTGTGGCCAAGGCCTAGGGCAGACTGGCCAAGACCCAGGCTCCGGCCAGGGAACAGCACGTGCTGAGGCCCCCAGCCCCTTGCGCCTGCTGGACCCTCCAGGCTGCGCCCTGTCCCCCCACACACTGGCCGCTGCTCCCGGCCCGTTCTAAGAGGGCACCCGTGCAGCCTTTCAGATCCATTTAGCCTAATTAGAGTGATTCTGTGGTCTCAGGGCCAATTTACATCTCTGTGGCTGCAGGAAGGCCAGCTGAGTCCTCTAATGAGGAAAGTCCTTGAGCCAATTAGGGGGAGTGGCTCCACCCTGTCCATTAGGTTTAATAAAGGTCAAGACAAAATCCAGTGCTGAGCCCAGCCGGGGTGGTGGTCCACCGAGAAGAGTTTGACTCGCCTTCTTTTCTGCTGTGAAGGTTGGGGTCTGCTTGGGGTGATGGACGAACCGTCCCCCACCCTAAGGGTCACTGCTGGCCCCAAGATGCCCCTGGGGGTGGAGGGCTTTATTAGCCTTGGGGCAGTTTTTCCCACTCTCCCAAGAGGGGAGGTATGTGAGGTCCTGGCAGCGAGGCCAGCCTCCCCGAGATACAGTGATGTCCTCCACGTGGGGTTTCTCAGAAGGGGGTTTCTCTCTGCCTGGGTCCAGGCTGAAGGGAGAGGATGGGGGTGCTGGGCCTGTGTGTGTTCTGAGAGCCACTTCAAGAGGCCCAGGGTTGGTGCCGGAGGTAATGCAGGTCCTGATGGGGGAGGATGCAGCCCCACCAGCCAGCTCTGCTCAGAAGTCCACTGCAGACCCTGGACCTTCAAAGACCCCAGACCTGCATCTGGAGCCTGCCTCCACTGGTCAGCCTGCAATCCACGCCTTCCCTGCCCCAGTTTTCCCACCTGTCTCGCATGGGACTGATCTGCAGGCATCCAAGGAGCCAGTGCTGTGGGGGTCCTYGGGTCTGAACATGCAGCAGGTGTCCTCCGCGGGCAGGTTCCCTGGGCACCTGCTCTCCCACCGGAGGAATGCATCTTCATGGAGATGCTGTCCTGTGGGCGGCGGGACCCTCCATGTAGCCCTGTCGAACGTTGGCTGGGTGCACAGGCGCRGCTGTGGCTCCTTGGGCCTCATGTCCCCTTGGAGCCTGGGAGCTGCGGCCCTGGCTCCAGCCACACAGGGTGACTGTCTTTCTGATCCAGCTGTTTCTGATCAGCCGCCTCTTGACTTCAGGGTCCTCTGGCTGAGCATGCTCTGCCTCCCGCCCTCCACCTGCCAGGCAGTGTCTCAAGGCCTTTCTCTGTTGTCACCTGGGGTCCTCATCCGCCCGCGGTGCTGGCTTTGCTGGGATGAGATTCCTTGGGTTGGCTGGAGGTCCCAAAAAGATACACACAGGATGTGCTGTGACCTTTGAGGTCTTTGCAGAGGTGACCAGGGAAGGCTCTTGAGGCCCTCCAAGTCTGAGGTGGGTCAAATCCAATGACAGATGTCACAAAAAATGACAGACCACCAGGCATGGGCCACACCTGTGATCCCAGAGGTCCAGGAGGCCGAGGCAGGAGGATCGCAGGTTCTGGGCCAGCCTGGGCAACGTAGCCAGATCTGGACTCAAAAAATAAATAAATAAATAAAAGTGCCAGGGGTCAGCAGTGTAGCCCCTGAGTTCTGTCCCCAATACCAGAGAACAGGGTGGGGGCTGGGGATGTGGCTAGTGGTAAAGCACTCACCTGGCCTGTGTGAGGCTCTAGGTTAGGTCCCAGTATTGGGGGGAAAGGTGGACATTTGAGACTCAGATATAGAGAGGGTCTGAGACTGTGAGGCCTGGGCCAGGTCCCAGTTCGCTCTGTGAGTTCTAGGAAGCTTTTTCATCACTATGACCAAGAGATCCCTCAAGAGTGACACAGACAAGAAGTTTATTTGGGGCTCACAGTTCCAGAGGTTCAGTCCCTGGATGGCCAACTCCATAGCTCAGGCCCTGGGGTGAGGCAGCATGTCATGGTAGATGAGTGGCAGAGAGCGACTCAGGACACACACCGTGGGGCAGAGATGTGGGGGCGGTGTGTCAGGACCGGGTCACAATCTCTGTAGAATCAGAGGAAGGGGACACCAATGCAGACAGAGTCGAACCAGGACGTGGGTATCACAGGGATTGGCCCACAGTGTGGACGCTCAGGGGTCCCCAGCCCAGCAGCTGGCAGATGGAAGCCCCAGGAGGGCTGGTGGAGTGAGCCCAGTCTGAGTCCAATCTGAAGGCAGGGGACAGCACAGTCCAGTCCTCAGGACACAAGCCAACAGCGACTGCCGCCCCTCAACCTCTGTGTCCTCCTGGGGATCCCCAGGCCCAGGCTATAGAGTGACACGCTGCTCTCAGCAGAAGCCCCCAGAGAGCTCAATCAGGCACCTCAGTACCTGGGGCCCAGTGCAGGTGACACCAGCTGGCTGGCACGGCATGAACAGCATGGGAGGGACTCACGTGGAGCCTCAGGGGGACAAGGACGGTTGAAGGTTGCGGCCCAGAGTGAGCCCGTATGAGGCATTAACAAGGCAGAGGGCATTCCACCCTGGGCGTGAGACCGCAGGTGTCTCTAGGCAGAGGAAGCAAGGGTGTGGATGATTCTGACCTGGGGCAGTGCTGACCTGGTCAGTGCTGACCTGGGTGCTAGTGCCTGCATCTGCACAGCTGGTGGTTCTTTCTAAGAGGCTCACAGGGTCATTCTGGCTGCCTGGAGTGGGCAGGCAGAGGTGCACGGGGGTCCCCTGCACAGGGCACATAATGGAGTGGGAGAGGCCACCAGAAAAGGGGACAGTAATGTTGGGGTGAGTGGAATACAAAAAGGCAATTGGAGACTACGCAGAGAAGTCAGATTGGGTGGGACGCCTGAGGGGCGCAGCCTCACCCAGGCCTGTGTGGGTGGACCACTGCCCGTGGCTGTCCCTTGGGCACCTTCCCCTGAAACCAGTTATGGCCAAGCCCCTGGGGACCCGGGGCCCAGTGCAGGCGCCTCTGTGGTGTGCCCTGTGGTGACAGGGGACTGGGGACGGGGTCCCCGCCCAGGTGTGGCAGTGTGGCGGCAGCATGGAGGTGCTGCCCTGCTCCCGCGTGGCCCACATCGAGCGCACCAAGAAGCCCTACAACAACGACATCGACTACTACGCCAAGCGCAACGCTCTGCGGGCCGCCGAGGTGTGGATGGATGAGTTCAAGTCCCACGTGTACATGGCCTGGAACATCCCCATGACTGTGAGCCCGGGCGGGGGGTAGCGGGCCTCRTGGGACTCCTCAGGGCCCCGTCAGAGCAGGGCCAGTGGGGGTCGTGGGCATCCTGCGGCCACCCTRGGCAGGGAGGGGACTTTGGCAAAGGGCCTCGTCCTCACTGGCCCTGGTAGATAGTCTAGGTAGAGAGTGGTCCCAGGGCCAGGGGTCAGGAGGGCAGGAGGGGTCCTCTGCCTCAGCCTCCCCAGTGCTGCGATGACAGCCACCCTGGCCAGGCGGCCCCTCTCAAAAACACTGAGTAGATGCTGTCCACCAGAGCCCTGCCTGCCCGTCCACACCACCTGGCCCAGCCCTCTGCCTGCCAGGCAGCATCCGCCCCCCACAGCCCCCAGGGAACCCTCCCAGAGCRCTGTTCTGCTGTGTTACTGGGAGCTGGTGGCCGTGTGGGGTCACAGGCCTGCCGAAGCCACCGGATCTGGTACTGCCCGGTCAGCACTGCCCACAGCCGTTTCCAGCCCCATAGACCAGGAAGCCATCAGAACGGCCCTCAATACTAGAGACAAGGAGGGCTCCTGCCAACCATGAGGCCAGTGGTCTGTCGCAAACTGATGCAGAAAGTCCAGTGTGACCATGTCCCTCCAGGTTGGGAAGGGCAGGACGTAGGCAGAGCAGGGGGCTGGCCTCCTGGGCTCCAGCCCCTCCACAGGAGATGGCTCAGTCCTACAAGGGTGGAATGTGTCTTGGGTTCACCCTCGGCTTACAAGGGTGCGAGGACTGTGGCCCCGGGAGGGCAGGGACTGTCCTAAGACCACCCACAAAATGACAGACTTGGCTCCAGCATCCTGGCTGAGTCCACCCTCGCCCCGACCTGCTGGCCCAGATGGGGCCCTGGAGGCAGAGCTCCCCCAAGCCCACCCCACCTTCCCGAGGGCCACTCCCTGCACAGAGCATGGGCCCCATGGCACCTCAGGTCCTTGGCAATAGGAGGATGCCCAAGCTGGGCAGAGCAACTGGCCCCAGCTCTACAGCACAGGGCAGCTTGGAACCAGCCAGGGGCAGCTGTGTTGACCAGGGCTCAGCCACCTGGATGTGGTGACCTCCCTGAGGCTGGCCTGTGTCCAGCCCTCCAGAGATTAGGCTCACACTGCATGGCCAAAGCCCTGCCTTCCATCTCAGGACATCTCAGCCATCTAGGCAACCCAAGGCCAGGCCACCAGGATGGGGACCAAACAGAAGCAGGCTCGAGAGCCCTCCCAGGAGCTGGCAGGGCTGGACCTTGGATGCAGGGTGCGGACAGCCAGGCTGACCTTCTGTGGGTTACGGGAGGGCAGGAGGCCAGTTCCAGATGAGTCTGCAGCAGGACTGCCCTGGGGGGTCTCAGGAGGCCTGGCACTCACATGTCCCCACCTGATCCTGCCTCGCAGAACCCAGGGGTGGACTTTGGGGACGTGTCCGAGAGGCTGGCCCTGCGCCAGAGGCTGAAATGCCGCAGCTTCAAGTGGTACCTGGAGAATGTGTATCCCGAGATGAGGACCTACAACAACACCCTCACGTACGGAGAGGTACCGCCTCCCCCGCAGGGCCCACCCGACCCCACCGCCATGCCCTGTCCCCCCACACCTGACACCGTACCCCACACCCATGCCCCCACCTGCACACTTGTATACTGGGGCATCCAGACACTAAGGGACACAGGGACCGTCAGACACACTTGGCCCACATGAAAACACATACCGATCCTTGTCTGTAGAAATACACACACGTGAAGAAACGTGTACACAGGTACACACAGAGATGTGTGGCACACACATTCACATAGGTAGGGACACCTACATTCACATACATGTGCACAGGGCACACACAAGTACATGCACACATGTATTCAGATGCCTGTGTGTGTACATAACGGTGTGTGTGTCAAATGCATTTGCATCTGCATACATGAACATGTGTGCATGAGTGCATTCACATTTGTGAGCGTGCACTCACACAAGTGTGTGTGCACACTAGTGTGCTGCATGACTACACTCTCCCACAGACACATGCTATGTACATGCATGTGCATAAACCCTGCTGGTGCACTCTGAGCATGCACACACGAGTACAATACACACATGGAGGTGTACGTGTGCACACACAGAGCTTCCAGGGCACCACGCACACCTCAGCTGTGTGTGAACCTGTCAGGGCACCTCCCTGTGCACCAGGCACCTGTGCCATGTCATGACTGTCACCTGAACGCGTGCACCACACAGCACAGCCCTGTTGGTCCACACACACAGTACCATGGCCCCAGACTCACCCGGAGAGCGGCACCTGAGCGGCACCAAGACCCCGCCCCACTGTTGCTGGTGCACAGACCCTCGTGGCTCTCCAAAGCCAGGGGGCGCCCTGTGGTCCTGCCGCTYCCTGGTTTGTGCTATGGTGGGCGGCCTCCCACCCTGCACTAGGCAGCAGAGCTTCCCCCCAGCTCCTCAGCTTCCCCAGAGCCCGGCTCTTCCTTGCGGAGAGAACGAGCACATCCTGGCCCTGGGCTAGCCCCCTGCCTGGGCGTCCTAGCTGTCTACCCGTCCCAGAGCTCCCTGTCCACCCCACATCTGACCCAGTCCCTCCGGCCCAGAGCCTCTCTAGGGGGCACTGGGTATTGAAGGGGTGGAGGGAGGCAGCACTTCTCCTGGCCTCTCCTGTGCTCTGTCCTGCCCACTTCCTCCCACTGTCAAGTCCCCTCACCACCCACCCCTGTGGCTGCTTCTTCTGCTGGTAAAACCTGCACCACTCTGGGGAGCAGTGGCCCGTAACTCCAGGTGTCTGAGGGTGCTCAGGATCCAGGCCATGGGCAGTTCTGCTGGGTGGGGGCGGAGCCCATCCTGGCTGGGCATGCTCTGCGGGCTGGAGGCTGGCTGGCTGCTGCTGCCCGCCCAGCTTGCAGGCAGAGCAGGTCGCACGGCTCATGGGCTCCAAACCCACACGGGCTCACTTCTGCTGCATTCCGTTGGCTGAGCCTCTGCCTCCTGGGGAAGAACTGTGGTCACACAGCACAGGGACATGGGAAGCCAGCGGCACAGCCCAGGTCTCCATCCAGCATGTAGGACTGTGTCAGGAACAGTCAACGTGCCCCTGACAGCTGGTCAGCCTGTGGCCCCTCTGCTCCCTTTCCCTTTACCTCACCTGGCCTCAGGCCAGGCCAGCCCTGGGCCCTGGTGGGTCTCACACCCGGGGAGGATGGTGTCAGGCTCACGCCTGTCCTGGGACAGCCAGCTGCAGAGCAGCCCCACCTGAGGATGGGGGCGGGGGGCTTCCTGCAGCCTTACCTTGGCCTGGAGATCCTCCTCGGTGACCCTGGGTTCCTCCTGTGGCTTTTGGTGGCAGGTGAGAAACAGCAAGGCCAGTGGCTACTGCCTGGACCAGGGTGCGGAGGACGATGACCGGGCCATCCTCTACCCCTGCCACGGCATGTCCTCCCAGGTAGGCCCAGCGAGCCCTTTGCAGGCAGGGGCAGGTGCTGAGCACACAGTGGCTACTGGGGCCAGCTCAGGGGCTGGAGCAGCTTGGGGACCCCGAAAGCCCCGCCCCCCCAAGGCAACAGATGGGTAAACTAAGGACAAGGCTTGGGTCAGGCAGGCCTTGGGGACTCCTCTATGCTTCAGGGTCCCCATCAACACCACAGGACACTGAGGGTGCTTACTTCTGCCTGAGCACCTGCCCTGGCCTTGCAGCCCCAGGTCCATTTGCACCTGGCCAGACCCCAGCCAGGGCTCATCATGGCCCCAGGTGACCCTGACCCAAGAGAGAGCCTGAGRGTCCCATCACAGGTGACCCTCTGCATGTGACGATGTGCCTGGGTGTCTCAATACTGAAGTTGGATCCCACTCCATGGTCGGCTTTCCGGGCATGACCCTCAGCCCTCCCAGAGCCCTGCGCACAGAGCTCCACCCAGGGCAGGTCCAGGGACCCTGCCACCGGGCCCTCACCCCAGCACTGAGCTAGCGCTAGTTGACGGGGGCGCATGGGTGTGACCAGCTCTGTGCACTGCCCTCCTTTGTCCTCCCTGGAGCTCTGGACAGGAGGCCCAGCCACTTCAGCTTCCAGCTTTGATTAACGGCAAAGCAGACCTTCGTGGAGGCCCAGAGGAGGCCGCTGAGCAAGTCCAGTTGGGGGCCTCCAACACGTGTAGAAGACCCTCTGGCTAGTGAGGACCTCAGGAGGCGGCCCCTGGGCCTGGCCAGGTCCCAGCAGCAGACCCTCCTGCYGGGAGCAAAGCCCTGCTGGAGGGCAGGGCAGGGCAGAATCCGGGGTCAGCAGGTGTGCCCCCCCCGTGATGCCCCAGTGCCCATGCTGAGCCCTCTGCCACTAGAGGACAGTGGGGCCATGGGCATAAGTCACCTCCCACTCCTAGAGGGCGGGCAGACGGGGACCAGGTAGATGGGGAGGCTGGGCCCTTGGTAAGCCTCACTGGAGAGTTGGAGAACTGACACCCAATTCAAGCAGGACATGGCCGCCCACATTCTCCTCTGCAAAATGATCTCAGTCTGTTGGTCACTCACAACCCAAAGTTCTCTGAGGCTGCAGGACTCCAGGGAAGAGCTAAGTCAAGACCCCAGACCCCATCACCAGGTTGCCTCAGTTTCCTGGGGCCACTGTGACCAAGGACCAGAAGCTGCACTGGCTCAGGGCCACAGGACCCCCACCCCTGCCATTCTGGAGGCCACACTCTGAAGTCAGAACCCCTGGGCCTGGGCCTGCCTCCCTTGCCCAGCCCTGCACAAGTGGCTTTCCTGTTCCCAAGGCTGAGCCTGGAGGGTCACTCCCAGAGGGCTCTCACTGGCTGGCAGCTGTTCTGGCCAGGGTTGGCTGGCCAGAGCAGGACTCATGGCCACTGGGGACCTCCCTCAGAAGTTGGAAGGCTCCACTCCATGATGTTCACCATTCCCCGATGTCCAGAAGGAGAGGACAGAGCCACCGCTGGGGGTCAAGGTCACATGCCACATGGACATGCCAGGCAGGAGCAGCTGATACAGGACGCGCCTGGGCAGTGTACCTGTGCACTCAGGAGAAGACAGTAGGAGTCCAGAGATGCAGCCCACACACMCGCCTGCTGTGCCCCCCTCTGATGCCACGTCCCATGCTAGCCCTGTGCACAAGGCCGTCCTAACAGCCTGCTTGCTGTGGAAGACACTGAGGCTCGGCCAAGGGGCTTGCTGAGGGCACACAGCTGACTTCTGTGTGGAATGTGTAGCTGTCACTCTGCCCTCTTGCAGAAAGCCTCCCTGGGGGGCGTGTTACACAAACACCCCAACCACGGCCCCAGGGTGTGGGCACATGGAGTTGCCTTCACCTGAAACGTCCGCCATGTCCTTCAGGAGAAGTGGAGCCTGCTGGGACCATGGGAGGCTCTCTGTCTCCCAAATCCACGCCTGGGCCCAGGTGTCCGGCCCCACAGAGGCCAAGACTCTGATCAGAGTTCCCGGGAAGCAGACCCAAGATGGATCCTCATTGCAGGACCATGGGGAAGGCACGGGGTCCGTCCACCAGAGGCCAGGCAGCCTCGGCCCAGCTGGGGCTCCTCCTCCCTCCTCCCTCTGGCCCCCACGGGAGCAGGGCGGGTGGGGCCGAGAGGCAGGGAAGTAGGCATTGGGCACAGGACCTACATCCTCTCAGCCACCTGCCCAGGCCTTCTGGGGTGTCCTGTGGCTACCGTCCAGGGGTGCTGGGTTTGAAGTCTCCGTTCAGCAAAGGAGTGAAGAGCAGGACGCAGGGACAGCAGGCAAGCAGCAGGCTCAGGGCAAAGTGACAGACACAGAGACAGAATTCTCTGAGGAGCAGGGGACCAGAGCCGGAGTCCCAAGGGAGTCCTGGCCTGTTCTTTTTGTGGTCTCTGGAATTTCCTCCTCTCCTCATCTCCCCCTGTCCCCGAGCTCCTCACTATAATTGGTTGGTCTCCTGGTCCACGCGTCTGTCTTAGTTTTTCCATTGGGTCCCCCATTTACAGAAGTGTCTGTGTGACAGGTCCCCACTTGTGTCCACGGGCACTTTTGCCAACCAGGAAGCTGAGCACACCAGAGCCCCTCCCCGTGCTCCTGTGTTCCCCCGGCCCAACTCCAGTCTGGCCCCTGCCCTGGCTGCCTATGCCCCCTACGTCTCCCTCAGTGAACCCCAAGACCTCCATGACCCCCAGAGCCTGAAAGTGCTGCCCATTGGATTGGCTCAGGAGGCTGGGGTGTCCTCCATTCCCTCCTCCAGCCCAGCTGGATTCCTTCTGAGCACACTGGCCACCAGCATGGATCCCAGGAGTTCCTCCTCTCGCCCAGGCCTGAGCTGGCCACAGGCAACCTGGACTCCCCAGGCCTGGCCGTGTCCACTCAACCCTCCCCAGTGTCCACCCGTGCTGTCTTCCAAAAGCTGATGCCCAGCTGGCATCCGAGCCTGGTGACGTCCCCTCCTCCCCTAGAGCCTTCTGCACAGAAGGTGGGCCCTATGGTCACTTCACATCCACCACAGTGTCTCCTGGGAGGGGGAYGCCCTAGAACAGACACCAAGGGCCTAATGTATAGCAGGCTTGGGGCTGAGTCCAGGCCTCAGGGGTCCTGGGTACTGCCCACAGCTCTGTCCATCTCCCCAACTGAGGCCTGGAGGCTGGGTCCAGGCCTCGGGGGTCCTGGGTACTGGGCCCACAGCTCTATCCATCCCCCCAGCTGAGGCCTGGGGTCTGGGTCCAGGCCTCGGGGGTCCTGGGTGCTGGGTCCAGGGGTCTTGGGTGCTGCCCACAGCTCTGTCCATCCCCCCAGCTGAGGCCTGGGGGCTGGGTCCAGGCCTCAGGGGTCCTGGGTGCTGCCCACAGCTCTGTCCATCCCCCCAGCTGGGGCCTGGGGTCTGGGTCCAGGCCTCGGGGGTCCTGGGTGCTGCCCACAGCTCTGACCATCCCCCCAACTGAGGCCTGGGGACTGGGTCCAGGCCTCAGGGTCCTGGGTGCTGCCCACAGCTCTGTCCATCCTCACAGCTGGTGCGGTACAGTGCTGACGGCCTCCTGCAGCTGGGCCCCCTGGGCTCCACGGCCTTCCTGCCCGACTCCAAGTGCCTGGTGGACGATGGCCGGGGACGCACGCCCACCCTGAAGAAGTGTGAAGATGTGGCCAGGCCGGCACAGCGGCTGTGGGACTTCACGCAGGTCAGTGGCCTCTGAGACCCCAGGCTCATGTACCTCCAGGGCCGCCTGCGGATGAGACCAGGGCAGTGTGGCAGGGACCCTGGATCAGCTGCTCTCCAGGAGCCCCAAAGCACAGGGGGGGAGGGTGACTGGCCCAGGGTCACACAGCCAGAGAGGGGTCAGAGTATAGCGCTACCACTTCCAGCCCTGACTGCCCAGGTTCCCAGGCCCAGGAGATGGACAGGAGGATTTGGGCAGAGGGATTTGGAGTGTCTCACCTTGGCTGGTGGTCTCAAGAGGCAAGACTGGAATTCCACAGAGCTCTGCAGAACCAGCACTCCACCCAACTGCGCTGGTGATGCCCAAGTCTGACCCTCCCAAGCCCCCAGGAAGGAGTGGACCCTGCCCATCCTCCTTCCCTCAGATCCCGCTCCTGAGGTTCTCTGAGCCCAGGGCCTGCTCCCTCCCCTCCCCACACCACGCCACCCTCTGAGCCTGACACTCTCGGGCCCAGGTCCAGGGCAGCTGGATGTGTCCTCCAAGCCCTGCTGACCCCGCTTGCCTCCTGTGGAGACCTGCAGGTCCAGTACCTCTGTTCCCGCTGGGCACAGACCCCATGACAGTGTGAGGGGCTCTGCTGTCCCCCCAGGGGCTTGGGGACCACTGGCTGGGAAGGAGCTCTCACTGCTGCCTGAGAGCTGCCTTAGAGGCCCCCGGGGGTGGGGTAGGGGTGGCAGTGAGGCCAGGGTCAGCGGCCCTGCTGCAGCTGCCTCTGGGGCAGCCAGGTGGGGCCAGGGCCATGGGTTCGGGGCCCCCTGCGCTTCCTGGAACCCCTTGAACCCCAGAAAACAGCAGGGCAGGTTGGCAGCGAGGCTGGCTGGGATGTGGGCAGCAGAGAGGACCAGGGGGCCGGGGGCTTCCTGGTGGCTATGTGGGGCAGCGTGGGCCCAGGGCTACCCCCTGTCCTGGGTGCCCCGTCTGACGCGGCTCCCCACCCCGCAGAGTGGCCCCATCGTGAGCCGGGACACGGGCCGGTGCCTAGAGGTAGAGATGTCCAAAGACGCCAACTTCGGGCTCCGGCTGGTGGTGCAGAGGTGCTCAGGGCAGAAGTGGATGATCAGGAACTGGATCAAGCACGGGCAGCACTGACCTTGCCCCCAGAGCCGCTGTCCAGGACATGGACACTGGTGGACCTTGGGGAGCCCTGGGCAAGCCCGGGCTGGAGCCAGGACTGCCTCGCGCCACCCACCCCCCGGGCAGGCTGGGCCTTGTGCCTGGGACAGGGGAGGCCTGGCGCCTGCGGCCATAGCCACCATGTCGGGGACAGACCCTCCCAGGACGGGCAGCTCTGCCAAGGGAGGGTGTCCGAGGACTGGGACTCCCGCGCGACTCACGTGCCTTTCTACAGAGATCCTCCTCAGGCTGCCGGGACAGCCGCCCTGCATGTGCCGAAGCCCTATGAACTCACCCCAGCGACTCGCGCCCTGGGCCGAGGACCGGCACCACCCTCCGCGCACACGCTCCCTCCCAGCAGACAGAGCTCGCGCCCCTCGGCCAGCTCTCCTTCGGCCAAGGCCAAAGCCGGAGGGCAGCTCCGCGAGATCCAGGAAGAAGCGACAGCTGCCCTGGTCCCAAGGGCGACTGAGGCCAGGCCCAGGAGGCCACTCTGCTACTCCGGGAGGCTCGGGAGGGGCCGGCAGCAGAGACGAAGCCACCTGCCTCGGGGAGCTGGAGAAGGCCCTGCAGGCAGGGGCTCCGCTTCTGCCAGCCCTCGCTGGACCATGCCCCTGCTGCCCCCTGGATCTGTGCCCTCTGTGGCAGAGGCAGCTGCGGACGCCCACCTCTCGCCTGTTTTTATAAATAAAGTCTTACGTGGCACTTACGTGGCACTCAGCCACCCCGCTGTTGGCGTCTTGTCGTGGCCCCATGTGGGCTGCAGGTGCTCAGCTGAGACGTGGCCTTGGGGCTCTAGCCTCAGGGAAATGTCCCAGTCCTAGAGGACACACAGCTCTCCCGCCCTCATGTCCTGGAGAGCTGCCTCCACAGCCTGGACCAGGTGAGGGGATAGGACAGGTGTGGAGTGGCCAGAACTCGCCTCACAGCYGGCTGGCCACATGGAGGGAGAGGAGAGTGTCAGCTCCGGCCTCTCTGCAGCTGGCAGGATGCAGAACAGAATTCTCCGGCCCAGGTTTCAGAACAGTGTCCCCACGACCCCAGCCTGCTTCACGTGGGGTCACTGATGCTCAGGACTGTTGCCCTCGCCCCACACTGCAGCACCCACCAGGCACCTCTGGGGTTTGCTGGCAGCCGGAGGGCGTGTGCGTCCTGGGGCTGGCCTCATGTAGTCATGCTCACCYCTGCTGCTGAAGGCCAGGCTCGCATTCCCTCCCCAGGCAGAGCCTCCAGGCCCCTTTCCTGGCCTTGCAGGGAAAGTGTGTCTGCCTGGTGGCTTCCAGTGTCCCCGCCCGTCAGGCAGCCTGGAGAGTGGCTGGCTTCACTCTTGGACATCATCTGGAGAGACTGGAAGATCCGTCTTCACCCTGTTCCACCCTCCTGGCCACAGTCAGGGACTCACCCCGGGTGGCTAGCGGAGTCACCAGCCACAGGGGACCTCAGAGAACCACAGGCAAACCTTCCGTCCTAGGGGTGGTCCTCCCAGGCCCCCAGTGGGGGGCACGGCCTCCAGCAGGAGGGAGGCCCCTGTGTGGCAGCAGGGGCTGTCCTGTGTCCCCAGGGCTCCTGCCTCCTGTGGCGGGGACTGCAGGTGCCCCAAGGCTCCCTGTAGCACGCGGCCACCCACTGTGTATCACCCCAGAGTTCATTCCCAAGAGCCCGATGCTCAGGAGGGGGAGGAAGAGGCCCAGGACCCTGCTATTGAAGACGTGCCCATAGCACTGAGGCCAATGTCCAGTCGGCCCTGACCACCAGGGATGCCCACGCTGGGACCAACTTCACATGGAGGACGGTGGCCTGCACTGCCAGGAACCCCAGCCAAAGTCCTCCGCCTCAAAACATGTCGAGTGCCCCAGACAGCAGAGCCAGCCCAGTGTGGGTGGCAGAGCAGATGGGAGAGGAGGGGTCCAACAGGCCTGCTGGGAAGCTGGCKGGAGGGGAGATCCTCTTACATGGGCCCCGCGACACCAAGTCCCGACACTGTCCTCAAGGGTGGAGGCAAAAGCCGAGGGGGCATCTGGAATGGACACAGGCCCTCTGGACAGGTCCAGCATCACGCCCAGGTCCAGGTGGCCCCAACCACGCCCTGTGCTGCCTTTCCTGCCTTTCCTGCTCAGCACTTGTCTTTCCTTTTTAAACGACAATAGTGTTTTAAGTGGCAAAGGTACAAGCAAATAGGGTTTAATAAAACCTAATTCCCAGCTCGCTTCTTTCATTAATCCAATTATAAATCGTCTCTGCAGCAAATTCAGAAAAGTCATGTTGTGTGTAAATCAGCTCATTTGCAACCAGAGACCCGGGCAGGCCCAATGCCAAGACCTGAGCCGCGGCTGGGAGAGACTGGCAGCAGGCGCCCCTCACTCTGCCCTGAGGGACGTCACCAGCATCAGAATTTCATTTTGCCTAATAAAAATATTCCTCTTGCCAATGAATCTTCATTGATGGCCAGGGTGCAGGAGCGGATCCGGGAGTGGCCCAGAGGGCCTATGGGGCCAGGAGGGAGCCGCCTGGCTGGGGCTGACCAGAGACCCCTGGAGAAGAGACCCCTCCCCGGAGGAGCAGCGCATCTAGCCGTGGCCGAGTATGGACATGAGCGTTGGCCGGGCAGCCTGGTCCTGCAGGCTCCAGCAGGAAGCCGACCTGTGCCCACGGCTCCTCCTCACTCCCAGAGGAGAGTGGGTGCAGGGCCTGCCCGTCCATCCCTGGGTGGCTTCCTGGGCTTTTAGTCTGCTTCCTGGACTTGCCCATATCCTAATTTTTCTGCAAAGACATTTGCCTGTGGTGAGCAATGGTTGGCTCCTTTCCTTCCTGAGCATTTACTAGGTACCTGCTGTCCCAGGTGCTGGGAGCAGCGGGGACGGGGACGAGGGATGCACTGAAATCTCCCCTTCTCAGCGTAAGTGCTGAGGAGAGGACAAGCACCACCAGGTGATGGTGGGGACATTCGCAGGCATCAGGGCACCTCATAGGCGAGGAGACGCAGCAAAGGCCAGGGGGCAGCAGGCCCTCCATGAGGAGGCTCAGCACAGCCAGCAGATGCGGGCCAGGGGATGGGCATAGGGAGGGAGAGGAGATGAAGGGCTGGCATGGAGGCAGGAGGCAGCCTGCCAAGGAGTAACCCTGCGGGCGCTGGGAAACCTCCACCCTGCTCAGAGAGGGTCTGGGGCAGGGCAGGGCCTTACCTGCCTCTCGGAAGGGTCCCCTAGCTACTGGGCTGAGCCAACTTCAGGGAGGGAAGGGAGGAAGGGGAGACCCCCAGGAAGTGGCCGTGGGACCTGGGGTGCTTGCACAGGACAGCAGGCTGAGCATGGTCACAGTCCTGCGCAGGACCTGCCAGGGAGGAGAGGGATGGCATCCCACCAGCCAGGTGGGGTCTGGTTGGTGCCGGAGGCATCATGGAGAGGGACTGTGAGCCGGTGAGCAGGAGGTTGGGCACAGGTCGGGGCTGGAGTCCCTGTCGTCTCAAGATGTCGGAGGAGGTGAAATTGCTGAGGACCACATGAACCTGAGGAAAGTGGCCCACAGAGCCTCCAGTCAGCAGGTGAAGGCCCCTGGGGGAGGTCTCGATCCCAGCCATGYGAACCACGGCCCCAAGGTTCCTGGGGCTTGGTGGTCAGCGGATAGCACTAGGTGTGCACCCACTATGTGCCCACCTGGGGAGGCTGGCTGGTCCACCCTACTGTAGTGAGACGAAGGCCCTGTGTCCAGAGGGCCAGCGGTCATCTCCACAGCAGCCTCCTGAGGCCACAGCCCCCCTCACCTATCAGCCAGGCCAGGATCAGGGCACCAGGATGTGGYCCAACACTGCACCCTCAACCCCACATGGCTGTTGCTTCCCAGAGGCTCCTGCTGTTCCCCAAGGAGCTAGAGAGTCCCCCACAGAAGGGGAGGGTCTTAACAGACATGTCCCCCATGTTCCCATGGTGCCTGGGGAGCCTTCCACAGCCAGGCCCAGCCCCACCCCTGGGCTTGCTGACCACAGCAAGGCAGGCAGATCCTCCCACATGTCCCAGGGTGGAGAAGCTGGCAGCTGGTAGGGGACTGGAGCAGGGACACAGCCTGCCACAGGCCCAGAGTCTTGCCCGGCAGGCACAGGCAGTCCCCAGCTGCAAGGACACAGTGAAGACAAGAGCCCAGATGGTCTTCAACCTCAGAAACCCCTGGGGGCTCCTCCGGGCCCACGGAGGAGCACAGGCCAGGTCTCAAGGACCCACACAACCGGGGACATCAGGTGGTGATGATCAGCAAGGCTCGTGGGCCCTGGAGCAACCCTGTGTCTAGGCAGGCTCCTGGGAGGGCCCGACACCGGCCTCTGCATCAGGCAGGGATTTAGTAGGACCTTGGAGACCCTCAGAGGAGCCGGGGATGAAGGCCTCCATGCAGGACRCAGTTTGACTTGCCCACAGCCACGACACCATGGTCACAGCGTCAGGACCCCGGGAACTCCCAGGGAGCGTTCTGTTTGCAGGCTGGCCTCACGGCTCTGAGGCACCACAGCTGCTGGTTTTATTTTTGTGGCTCTGGGGACTGAACCCAGGGGCACTCAACCACTGAGCCACATTCCAGCCCTATTTGTTATTTTTTAAGACAGGGTTTCACTAAGTTGCTGAGACTGGCCTTGTTTGTGATCCTCCTGCCTCAGCCTGCCAAGGAGCTGGGATCACAGGTGTGGCCATGTCTGGCCACAGTTGCTTCTTGCCACCCTGAGAACATCACACCAAGGTCACTCCTTCTTGCAGGCTGCAGGCCCCAACCAGACAGGAGAGCACAGAGAGTCAGCGGTGCTGGTCATACCTGGCACCCAGCCCACAGGCCCTGGGAACTTTGTAAACAGTTCTGCAGGCAGGCGTGAACGGGCAGCCACAGGCTCCTCTCTGACTCCCAGGCAGGCCTCGGTTGTGGCTTCTTGGCTCCTCTGTGCCTTGTGCCCTCTCTGCTTCCTGTGAGGACACTGCGCACCAGATCAGGGCCCACAGTG